ATTTCTGGGGGTGCATACTGCAGTCCAGCAATTCTCATGAGATCTGGAATAGGGTCCAAGGAGGAGCTAAGTAAGCATGACATTGAATGCAAGGTGGATTTGCCAGGAGTGGGTCAGAACCTCCTTGACCATATGGTATGTTGCTCTGAGGAGAATTCCGAGTTCGTGGACACACGTCGCTCATCAAGCGGTTTCCAGATTGTTTTCATGTTCTATGAGACTGAAAAGCCCGGCTTGACAAATGATTACCTCGTCCACCACGGTGACAGCTTCGAGAAGAGTTACGCACTTTGGAAGGAGAAAAAGAAAGGGTTCCTTTCAACGTTTCCATTTGGTTGTTTCGCATTTGCCCGACTTGACGACCGTCTCAAGGACGAACCACTTTGGCGAGATGCACCACGGGAGCCCGGTCGTGACCCAATGGGCTTGACTCCGAAGCAGCCTAATGTTGAATTTTTCACCACGGAATGTTATGGTGGTCCCAAACAGTACGACCAATTTCCTACCGACCACAAGCATGCATTTTCTATCATTGCGGAATTGTTTTCTCCCCGGTCTCGAGGGAGCGTCACACTATCCTCGAAGAACCCGCTTGAGAATCCTATAGTGGACTGCAATTATCTTTCGGATCCATTGGACCTCCTTGTTCTCACAGAAGCCTGTCGATTTGCCAACGAGATCATCACCCAAGGAGCTGGAACGAAAGACATTGTCAAGGGATCATGGCCGCCCAATCTAACCCATCATACGTACACCAAAAGGGAAGAGTGGATTCCCTACGTCAAAGAGCACGGAACGACCTGTAAGTCAAATCCTATCTGTTTTCAGGCGTAGCCGTACTGATTTTTATATGACAGGCTACCATGCGGCAGGTACTTGCGCTATGGGCAAGGGTGGTGACCCTAACGCCGTTCTTGACCATAAGCTACGAGTGCGAGGGGTATCTGGGTTGCGCGTTGCTGATTGCAGTGTCATGCCAACGCTACATGGAGGCCATACACAAATGCCTGCATACGGTATCGGTGAGAAGTGCGCTGACCTTATTAAGGAAACTTGGAACACACCTCCACTAGGGGGAGTGTCGAAGCTATAAGCTATGAGCGTGCTCTTCCTTGTTTCCAGTTTTTTGTCTGTGTCTATATTACTTCTACCTAGTCTTTACCTGTCCGCTATTTAGCAACATTTATATCTTGGGTACTTTTCCAATATCTTGGTGGTAGCTTTTTTGAAATCCAACTACTGAGATTGTGAAAACTTATTGAGACTGAGACTACCAGAGCAAGATCGTGTCACTCACTTAAGAGTCTTCGAGGCACCATTTGCAAGGTATGTGTAGCTACCGCATACAGAGCAGCGACCTACCATAGCAGCGAAGCAGAGGGACAAGCCCCGGCATCGGCCCTAAGCTTTCGGCACTAGCCTTGTGGTCGGGTCACCGCACCCAATGAGCGGGGAGTATGTCAGCCTTGTGGAGGCTAGCGCGAAGCCGACTGTTCCGCTCTGGCAAAGAATTATCCAAAACCATTTGCCGATGACTCAATAGGGCTGACGACTCTGGGCCTTTCCAGGTCTGATAGCCCACCCCTAGATGAATCGCTGTGGAGTCAGGAAAATGCCGTCTTCACAACAAGCAATTGCGTGCTTTCTAGCCTGGCTCGGCGTGGATTTGGAGGAGTGTAACAACTAAGAAGAAACGAAGCAATTAAAGTTTCACGAGGAGGGATATCCGAAAACAGCCTCAATGGAAAAACTTCATCAGCGGTACAGTACTTTTAGTCCAAGGTTGAAGAGGGAACAATGACTCTTTGAGGGCATATCTAGGGTTTAGGGTGTTAGTGGACCGCCCTATACCTTCTTCCACCCTCTGCCTCTGCTTCCCCAAGATCGATCTCATCTGTTTGTTTGTGTCTCTGACGTCGGCTGCAGTCCACTTCACAAGCCGGCTACAAACCAGCCGAGTTACTTTATCTTCATCATCATCATCATCATCATCATCATCGAGGGGCTAGAATGTCCCAGCCCTTTGACACTGGCAAATCCCCGGTCCTGCCCGTCGTGGAGTCGTCGTCCGAGAAATCCGGCAAAATGCAGGGGATGATGGGCGGCAGCAAAGAAAGTCGTTTGAAACAGAACATCGACAGCAACTACGCGGATCTGATCTGTGTGGTGCTATGCTTCCTGACGGGTCTCTGCGATAGTTCAGCCTTCAATGCCTGGTCGTGCTTCTTGGCTATGCAGACTGGTAAGTTCTTCGGTTGCTTCCCCCACTCCCCCCGCGGCGCATTGTTTCCCCTTCTACAATCCCTACCATCCCCTCCCCTCCCATCTTCCATAAACCCAAAGAACCGAATGACCAACCAAGAACAAACAACAGGAAACACGATCGTCCTCGGCCTGGGCGCCTCGAACCTGCCCCGCGACGCGCCCTACGGCTGGCTCAAATCCCTCGTCTCGATCAGCAGCTTCCTGCTGGGCTCGTTCTGCTTCAGCCGCGCCGGCCGGCTGCTGGGCCCCACGCGGCGCGGGACGCTGTTCGCCTCCTTCATGGTGCAGGTGGCGCTGATCGTGATCGCGGTGTCGCTGATCCAGGCCGGGCTGATCGCGCAACCCAACGTTAACAGCGCGCACCAGCACCACATGCTGCTGGACCTGATCCCCATCGGCCTGCTGGCGTTCCAGTCGGCCGGCTCGATCAACTCCACGCGCTCGCTGGGGTACAACGAGATCCCCAGCGTCGTGATCACGAGCGTGTACTTCGACATCGCGTCCGACATGAACATCTTCGCCGGCAAGAACGTCAAGCGCAATCGCCGCGTCGCCGGCGTCGTGATGTTGCTGGTCGGGGCGATCGTCGGCGGGTGGTTGAATCGCAGCGCCGGCGGGATGGCGTCGACGTTCTGGTTGGCGGCCGGCATCAAGTTTCTGATCGGGTGTGGGTGGTTGGTGTGGGCGCCGAAGAAGCAGGATGGAAATTAGTAGCGGTGTCTTGGTACGAGGGGTTGTAAATATGGGTGAGTTGTAGGTGCCCTGTATATAGCGGGAGCAATCTCCTTTAGCGATTTCATTCTTGGGTTTAGAGATATAGACTGGTGGACCTTGGGGCTCAATAGACCATTATTACATAGAAACTACGCATTTAGATTCGCGTTTGTGCTTTCCGCCGACCATACAAGATATCTCTCTGCCGTCATCATTCATGACTGTCCATTAAATTTACCCAACCGTGCTATAAACGCCAAGATACATCGCAGGGCTTTCCTGGACTCGAGGCGGCTCCGAAGCACCTCACTCCCACCTATGTACATAATATAGTCCGCGTCCAGGGCTCTCTCTGTCTGCTCTCTGGCTCAGCAAGCGAGTCGAGTTTTCTCAAAACCGCCGGAAAGCTGCGATCAAAATAACTGCCGTGATCCGCAGAAACCGTCATTCAGTATAGCTATTGTACAATTTGCCCGCTGCTCATCCTCGTCTCATCGCTCCGATTCCGCTTCCCACAATCCTTTCAAGGGTATTCGGGTGCTCTACTCGCGCATGGGACGGAGGGGGCTCTGGCGGGGGAGCATCATCGGGGGGCCCCGAGCGCGGAGCCAGGCGTCATTGTAAGGACCCTCGGTGCGGATGACGCTACCGATGGACATGAAGAGACTGTTTGAGACCGAATTTGTTAGCGGGGGTTGTTGGCTTGTATAAACAGCGAAGAAAAAAAAAAGGAACAAGGTATAGTCCAACCACATACCCGAAAGTGGCACCCGAACCAAGCATGTATTTACCCAGGGTGCGGAAGACACCGTTGGGACCGGCTCCATACTGGAAGATAGTGACGGTGCCTGGGGCATGTTAGCTGATACAGTTTGTGACTCCTTCGCATGGATACTCACCGATGATGAAGCCCATGATACCACCGACAGCTGGCGAGATGTTAGCTCCCAACCCTAGTGGTTTTGGCGGGGCAGGAAAAGTTAAGGCTTACTGGATCCCATCAAAGCACCCATCTTCACTGTATAATTCATTAGCACATGCTCATAGAAGCCTGGAGCATAGGTCCACTTGTACTGCGGATTGTCTGAGACTTACTCTTCTCGAAGGTGTTGGGGCCGTGGGCCTGAGGGGGACCAGCAACAACAGGCATGATGAAGAAAGAAAATAAATTAAAATTGAAGTAAAGAAGAATAGAATAGGTCAAGGGTACAGTACACGAGAGCACGAAGACACTGCCGGCGTCGAGATGCAAAGCGAAGCTCCAGCGCATGCCCGGCAAAGCCCCGAGGCTCAGGCGATGCCCACCACCTGGCACGTGATACCGCCTGCCTGATTCGGCACGCTCTCTTCGCCGGGAGATGACATAAGCCACACGTGTTGCCTCACGTGATCCAGGACTGAGGCGGGTGGAGGTTAGGGGAGAAGAGCAGGAGAAGGAGGAGGAGTAGCGAAGAAGTCCGTGAGCTGATGATGCTGTGGGCTCTCCCTCTCGCTCGCTCCCGCTTCAGTCGCCCGGTTACCACACCCATGGGATCTGGTCGCAAACCGTCTGATTCTAGTGTGTCGATTCATATTCCTCGACGGCCTCAGAGCCTATGCACGGCGGCAGTTCCGTCCTGCGTGTGCCTTCTTTTTACCTGCTCCTGCTCCTTAGAATCCTCTCCCTTCGCTGGACCGTTGCTTCTGCCGGTCGCTCCTCGGGTTGGGCCAAGACCTTGACGTCTCCCTGGTCTCCTCCCAGCGCTTTTCTAAATCTCCCGCCCAAACCCACTTTAATCTGATCTCGGCCCTTTGTACGAGTGAAACACTGGTAAGTCCAATGTGATCTATCTTATAATAGAGAGGGGCTAAGGGGGCCCATCGCCTGCCGTTGCTGCCTCGACTCCGAAGGGGCTTTGATGTTTATCGAAGGACTCGTCCGGGAATAATTGCTAACGTGACCTCCTCCCAACAGTCGTATTGGGTTACAACAGCCTTTTTTTTTGTCGGCGCGCCAGCCATCGCTGCATTTCTTTCACGAGGATCTGTCGCGACGAGTTGCAGCTGCTGATTGTCGCCCGAGTGAATATTCTCTCTTGCCCTTGTTGCAGTCACCGTTGACCGGACGAGCGCCTATGTGATAAACCCACCGAGCTACAATTCACAACACTTAGCGCCTCCCTCCGGTGATCCTTCTCCATGACTGCTGTGGCATCACCACCTAGTGTGCAAACGGGGCCTCGCATGGGATGGTTCGATACTGGTAACGGAGGACAAGGTGCTTTTTCTTCAATGGATGCGGAAGAAGTGTCTCGGACATTTATGCCTCGAAAGACCGTTCAGAGATCGAATTCTTCGTCATCCCTCCGATCCAACGGCTCCGCCTCAACTACAGTGGCTCTTACTGAACAGAACTCGGGCCCCGCACAATCTGCGCCCACAAATACCTGGGGCAAGAAGAAGCCCTCGAGAAATCTCTGGCATACCTCTAATTCCGAACCGCAGTCCCTACGGGGCATTCCACCTTCTTCTCAAGCCATGCCGGCCTTTTCCTCCGGCCCTGGCGCTTTGTCCGCGGTCCATCAGCCGTCATCCATTGTTCCGTCTCAGCATATGCTCCAACTCTCCCAGCAACAAAATGGCCTCCGCGCTGGGAGCGTGCCACAGGGCGACCCGCCTGCGATCTTGACCCTCTTGCCCATCAACGGCACTTTCGAGAAGAAACAAATCACCGTGCCTTTTTACCCGGAGCTGATACGCATTGGCCGACAGACCAATGCGAAGACAGTGCCCACTCCAGTGAATGGCTTTTTCGACTCGAAGGTGCTATCACGGCAGCACGCTGAGATTTGGGCCGATAAGAACGGGAAGATCTGGATCCGCGATGTAAAATCGTCCAATGGTACATTCGTGAACGGAAAGCGCCTGTCCCAGGAGAACCGCGAATCCGATCCTCATGAGTTGCGCGAGAACGATACTTTAGAACTCGGAATAGATATTGTTAGCGAAGATCAGAAGACGATTGTCCACCACAAGGTGTCCGCCAAGGTCGAGCATGCGGGTATCTATGCGTCTATTCCCAACATACTCGACCTGACGCTCGGCGACTTGGATCCTTCGGCTGGCAATGGCCTTGTTCCATCGCCACTCACCCAGCCTATGGTACAGCTTCGCGGTCGGTCAGGTAGTACCATGAGCAATCGCAGTGTACAAAGCGCAGCGAGTAGTCAGTTCAATGCGATGCAGCAACAGCGTCAAATGAACTACTGGAATTCGCCGATCTCAATAGAGCAAGTGGTCAAGCGACTCACGGTAGGTGACTGTGTTCTCTTCGGGGCCGACCGAGGCTAATTAAAACACCAGAGCGAAATGAAGCAGGCGAAACATCAATCGCAGGAGCTCCGGCAGACGGATGAGTTCCTGACGACTCTGATGAAACCCGGTCAGCCCGAGAAAGAAAAGGCGAAGCACTCGCCGCCCGATACCAATGCCGCTCGCGCAATTAATGGCAGACCCAAAATCCCTCGTGTAGACTCTTTCTCACGGTTTTCCGAGCCTCCCGCACCTCCTCCACAGCAACCGCTCCCTGAGAAGCCGGACGCTCTACCTCGAAACGGCACAGACTCTCTCTCCCCTCTGAAGCGTTCCGATACCGAGAAACCCAAGCTTAGTGGCAGCTCGCCTGTCAGTCGTGATAACAGTCAAATCCTTTCCCTGATTGAAGCATTGTCATCCGCCAAACGGGAGCTTGACACCCAAGGCGCCCGTGTCAAGGAACTAGAAGCCATGTTGCTTCAAGAGCGATCGGCTCGCGAATCCGCCGAAGAAAAGGCTAGAACTTTGGAGATGCGGACCGTCACAAATGGTACGCATGATACTTCGGTGTGCAGCGACGCTGATCACGAGACCACGCAAACTGCGTCGATGGATAAGTCGGTAGAACAGCCTGCTGCCGAAGTTGCCGCGGAAGTTGCGACCGAGGTGGAGCAGGCGGGTTCCGCGGTCATTCGCACCGAGGATCTTCAACATCGTCTGGAAACGATGATCCAGGAAATGGAAGAAATGAAGAAGCAAGTGACGATCTTCAAAGAACAGGCCCAACACGCGGAAAGCGAAACGGCTGAAGCACGCAAGTCCCTGGCGGAGATGATTGAGACATTACGACGAGAGCGCGCGGAGCGTGCCGAGAGCGATGCCAAGATGGAGGCTTCAGGAACAAGCCATGTTCCTGACACCACGATTACCAAGGCGGAGAATGCCATCGAGAAAGATGCTTCCGAGCCTAGCGACCCACGACTGCAGCCTGTTGCATCACCCCGCATGAAAGAAGATGACACTGCAGATTCCAAACTGGCCGCGCAGCCTCGCCGACATGACGTTCTGGAGCAATCCAGTCCATTTGCGTCAATGCTGGGAGTCGTGCTTCTAGGGGTCGGATTAATGGCCTACCTGAATGGCTGGCAGAAGATGGATAAATGAACAATCTCCTGCCACCATGTTATGTTTGTTTTGAGCGAATGGCTTGAATTGTTGGTTTATTTCGAAAAGGTCCCTTTCACCCCCGTTGTTATTGCACCCTGGAGACCTTTTGGTCTACCGCCGTCCAATCCTTACTGTGCCCATTTTCTACTCCCGTCATATTGATTCCTAGTTCTGACCCCCTTCTCTCCCCGTGTACTCTGAACCAACGCTTAACAGGGTCTCTGCGTTGGCTGTGGGTTTCTTTCTTCTCTCTATACTTGCCCTTTCTTGCGGCCCCATTATATGCAGTTGTTGTTTTGCATAACCTGCATGACTCTCGCTTGCCTTTCTGTTGTTAGATATCATCTCTTCGTTGGCGCCCTGTTGATCCAGTAACGAATCCCTGGCCGCAGTGGTTTATTTCCTGTTAATGTTTTCTTTTCTTATCATGGGCAGAAGCAGGTCATGTAAGGCATACCCGCCTTTGTGTATTAGTCTACATAGCATTACTTCCTTGAGTTTCAGAGCGATGAATGCTTAACTTTCTCCCACGGTCCTTCCTGTATATCTCTTCTTACAAGCTGGTTCACCTAGAGGCGCGAATGGATTGAACATATGGAAGTCTTGCAGCTGTGACTGTAGCTGTAGTATGGCCTGCGACTTGTATAGTCTGCTGATAGATATCTGATCTGGGGTAATCGCAAGGAGTCAGCATGTCTTGCTGTCTCTTTTGCGCAGCTGGTATGCCATCGTCTGTTGCTGGACAGCACACTTCAGCTTGGAGTGTTCGGGGCCTTGGCTTGACGCCTCTGTATCTGTGGTTTGACGATAGGCAACCTTTCCATCCGAAGCACCCAGGATAGTTGTGGGTATGTCCCCGATGATGCTCCATTCGTCATCAATACCATTGTCTCGAATTATTCTTCATCATTCCCAACCCAGCAAGGAATCCTACTTCAACCCCACCACAACATCCACCATATTAACCCACCTCGTCCGCGACTCGGGCAATTCCTCCTCTTCATCCTCTCCCTCCTCTTCCTCCCCCAAACCCCCTTCTCCCTTCCCCTCCCCCTCCCCCTCCCTCTTCTCACCCTTTACCGCCGACTCCAAGCCCCTCACAGCCCTCCTCCTCTTCTTAATCGCCGCCTTCGACAAAACCCGCCCACTCCCCTCCTCCACCCCGGACTCCACCTCCCTCCTCATCCTCTCCGCCCCCTCCACCACCCGTTTCTTAGCGGCCTCATCAACCTCCACATCATCCACAACCAGCACACTCCCCGTCGTCACCGTCACCCGAAACTCCCCACCCCCCGCCGCATCCCGCAGATACTCGCCCACAGCCACGGCCTTCGCAATCGCCCGCCCCGTCGCCTTGACATGCACCTCTTCCCGCCGCAGCGCCTCCTGCACCTGCGCCACGCGCTCCGCTTGCGTTCTCCCGCCGTGTTGCTGCCGCCCCCCTTTCGTGGAGTGCAACCCCGCGGTGGCGCGCTTCTCCGCCTGCCGCAGCAGCTTCCGGACGCGCGTCACGACGCTCATCTTGGGGGTGGTCGTCGACACGTAGATGGTTTTGGGGACGTTGGAGCCCGTGTATGGTGTTGACGGGGCGGGGTGGGGGATGGGGCGTTTGGTGATTTTGGCGTCTGCGGAAGGGGGAGTGTTAGTTTTGAGGTTGAGCCGGGAGGGAGGGGGGGATGGATTTGGGATCAGGGAGTTGGGGATTAGGGAGAGGGATAGGCGTACATTTTGGGAGTTTGGTCATGTTTTGGTTCTTTTTTGTGAAGGTCAGGCTTTCTGGGTGGGAGTGGGGTTTTGTTGCGGGTGCTGTTGGTGGTGGGGGTGTTGGTTGGGGCATTTTGGGTTAGGTTTGTTGTTGATAACTTGGTGGAAGATTGGATGGGAGAGGTCCGAGGTTGGCGAGGAGGTTGGAGAGAAGGACTTGGTAAATGCTGAGGTTGTTGGTTGTTGAATTGGACGGGGATGGATCGCGACGGACATCACTGGGCTGCTTTCCATTTCTTTGATGGTTGGCCGGATTGGGCTTAGTGGGGTTTCCTTATCTTATCGCTTCTTTCACTCGTACTTAGATTGTATAGAGTGACTGTATTAATGCTATCATATTTGGTATTTCCAAAAGACTTCTGAGCTTGAGAACTAGCTAGCTTAAAGCTATAGTAATCCAGCCTACTATCGTCCCATGGCACTATGGTTGGAAGCTGCCATCCGTCTTATACACGTCCACGTCAAAACACTACCTATTTGCACCACTCGTGTAAAGCCAGTCTTCGCGAGTATCGTATCCTCAACTCGAGACAACCTTTGAACACGCTAGTGCTCGCTGCCCGCTCCTGCTACGGAAGCGACATGCCGATATAGAAGCCAGGCTCGTTGATATCGTGGTTCTTGTAACTAGTGGGAAAGAAAATTGTCAACATAACCCCCATCGTGTGCATTCAGGCACAGCCCACGCATACCTGAGAATCCCGATGGCACCGGGCGACAACATCATTGGCAGCGGCGTGCTCAAAGAATAATTCAGCCACCTTTTCACAAAAGCTCGCAGAACAAGACCATGAGAGACCTAAAATAGTCAGCATACTCAGCTCAACTCGAGTATAATGCCTGTCTTTCCTTCCTGCTCATAGAGGAATCATACCAGAACGACATCCACAGCCTTTGAGCCGTCCATATACGGCCCCTGCAGCTCTCGAATCCGCCCAATCAGACCGTCGAGCCTGTCCGTCACCTGTTGCGCCGACCTGATGCAAAATTCTCAGTCAGCGCGATTCTCAAGATCACAATTGACGGGAGAAGAAATCAAAGATCACGAACTCCCCGCCCTCACACCCATCCTCCCAGATAACCCACTCCCTCCGCTGGTCCAACCCTCGCGCTTTGCGGGCGGATCGGATCTCAGCGACCTTCAAGCCCTCGTAGTTCCCGTAGTCCCACTCGGCCAGCTCTTCCGTGTACGTGACGAGACGCTCGTCGACGGTACCCCTGTGCCGCCCGGGTGGTTGGAACAGATGCCGGAAGGTCTGCTGCGTCCGCCGGCGCGGACTCACCCACACGCGGGCGATCCGGGCGGGATCAATCAATCGCCCTGGTCCGATCAGCTGGGATCCGGTTTGGGTGACCTGCTCGACACCCTTCGGGGTGAGCTCCAGCTCGGTGGTGCCGGTGTAGCGGCCGTTCTTGGTCCACTCGGTCTCTCCTGATGTTTCAAAGATTAGGAGGTCTGCGACGCGAGACAAGAAGCAAAACTGTCAATGAGTATAACTCACCGTGGCGGATGAGGAATACTCGAGGTGTGGTGGAATCTAGATCAGACATGGTGGGTCGGGGGCCGTATGAAGGTGTAGTACAGTACAGTGCCGCTGAGAGGTAGAGTCCTTTCTACTTGAACTGCAGATTATGTCGCTGGCCTGTAGAATGTGTTCTAGGGTCTTTTCCGTTTCTGGATCGGAAGGTCAGTCGTATGAGGGGTCGGAACGGAGGGGTTGTCGTTTACATGCGTCTATTGTTTACATAATGCTGACACTAAGCTATTAGCTCCTTTTGCGCCAGTAGACCCTGTATCCGAGTCTGTCTTGAGACATCTCGCTTGTGGCAGTAAGAATGAGAGTATAAAGCGTTAATGAAGCCTCCTGGTTACTTCTTTCTCATACTTCTAGCTTTGATATTTGATTAACAGTCTGCGTTCGATGCAGCTTACGCGGTACTCCTGATAATGCAAGCTGGTGGGTCTGCTGATGAGCAATATGTGTATACTAGGTCCATGCGGCACTGCGCTCAAAGACATCGAGGTCTCAAATCCTCTCTGACCTTGAGATCTGACACAACAAGCGTGCTGGAACTTCATACACGATGTGTCCCACTTTCTGCTTCAACAGTAATTTGTACGGGTTCGTTACAGATATCAGATTCAAGCACGGTGTCTTGGAGTTCGTTCTCACCGTTCTCGAAATCCTGAAAGCGGAAAATGGTATAATCGAGGCCGGTTATAGCCTCTGCAAGCTCAGAATGGAATGACGACCTAGCAGAGACAAAGAGGTGAGACTCCATGAAAGTTTCTGTTGATCCGCTGTCATCATCCTCTGATTGAGCGATGCTGATCAGGCCCTCAAAGGCTTCTGAGAGCTTTTCGTCGTGGTCATGGCGCGCTTGCAATATAGCTCGGCCCGTAGACAGAGTTTCGGGGTCCAGTCCGTGGAAGAGCCGCAGAGGATGAGATGACGCGAGTATCAACATAGTGCCGATGTCTGCATGTTCCGCGACAAGCGAGAGCAACTGGGAACCTGACAAACTGTTAGTGAGCTATCCAACCCGAACCATGGTCCTTGGCTCGTCCGGATGTCGGTGTTGACAGGTAGAGTACCTTTCAGGCGGATTATGGTTAAGTAATCATAGCGGCGGCTAACGAATAGTTGCAGTATTTGATGGTTATTATGAATGATCGCAGTTGACAATGGGGTGATTCCATTGCTAGACGTCGCGCCTAGGTCTGCTCCAAATTGAAGCAACACAGCGGCGCAGTCGACGTTGCCAGTGCGAGCGACTGAGTGCAATGCTGTCAACCCCTCCGGATTACAGGCGTTAGGTTTCGCGCCAAACTCAAGAAGAAGTCTGAGCATATCCGGCAGTCCTGCAAACCCCGCGGCCGTCAGAGGACTGCTTCGGAAGACTCCCTTCGGCAACCTGGGGTTCGGATCACCGCCGGCTTCGAGGATGAGACGTAAACAGGGGATATTATGACTGTCGACTGCATGGAGTACGGTTGTTCTGCCTGTCATGTCCATACTGTTGGGGTCCGAACCATATCTTAAAAGGGTACGGACGTCCTCTAATTGGGCCCTGGCTGTTGCCCAATCCAGCGCCGTGCGTCCTTGTATATCTGTGGCGTGGACAGCATGTGGGTTTTCCTCAAGCTCTGTGGTCAAGGGATGCGAAGACAGACCAAAGATAATCCGATGGATTAGAGGGAAGTTCTGCTCTCTGAACCAGTCATTATCACCATCTTCTGTGATACAACGCAGGGCTCTCTCTTCCTTATCGTTGCATTTACCGCGGAAGATGAAGTCCCAGACGTTATCATATGAGCTGTCGAGACTTGTAAGTGGGAAGTCCGGCTATTGTAGTAGAGTCACCTACTCTTCATCCACAATAGCCCCTTGGCCAATCAAGAACTGAACAGTTTCGTACTGATGCATTCCCCCATAAAGCGCCCACTAAACCCTTTCTTAGCATCCTGTGTGTCATAGGAATTTGTGTCACCAACTTACTCGCACCAAAGTAAACCCCCTGGAGTTACTGACATCCCTTGGGGTTGCTAAGCCTTCACTGAAAAGGTACTTGAGACCCTCAATGTTCCCTTGCATGGCGAAGATGACTGACTGAGCATTATCTGGTACTCTCCTTGAGGTCGATAACTGTAGCTGTGGCCCCTGGCCTGCGAGGTCTCTGAGGTAGAACCTCAAATTCATCGACATAAACCACCAGGGCAGCCAATATTCCATTGTGACGGCGGGTGTCTGTTGATCCTTGCAACCTCTAAAATCACATCGCTTCTTGAGCACGGGTAGACCCGTATAGCCCACAAATATCTTACCAAATAGACTCTCCATGACTCCTGGAATTGTCATTCTCGCCTTTTGCTTTCTATGACAAACACAGGGACAGCTTCGACAAGAGAATGAATGAGAGAATTGAACCCGGAGCATCTCCTGATGAGATGATCCAGTACTTTCCTTGTCAGACGATGGCTGGCTGTAACCAGGTAACTGCCCCGCTGGCAGCTTCTCTGTAAGTAAAAGCTGGCCAAGTTCTTCAAGACGGTTGTTCAAGCCCTGATATTGTTGGTCCATGCGAGTATGGATTGCAGCCTGATGATCCTCAAGAGCCTGGTTCACTGTGTGGATGTAAGATTCCTGTAGCTGACCACCATTTGAAGTCAAGACAGAGACCTGACGAAGCTCGAGTAGGATCTGCTGTAGATCACGTCTAATCATGTGATGAGTTCAGGGGAAAGAAATGGAATGACGGCCACCAATGAGACTTAGTAGTACGTACGAGTTCGAGGCACCCAGGAGAACATTGAGACTTGCTTTGGCGGCTCCTATGTCAGTGTGAAACTCGTCAAAGAGTTCCTTCTCCCTGAGCCAGATGGCAGTTTTACTGATGATCTTGGTTTTGCCTCTGGCACATGCATATCCCACACGCTCCAGGGCCTTTGCAAGGTCCGCGAGACGACCCTTGGTCCGCGCCAGTAGCTGGTGCAATGATTCTTGGTCTGGGGCTGATTGGGAGGCATCCTGTTGCAGCAAGCATGCGACTTGACGGAGTACTATCTCGAGATCTGTGATCTCATTTCGCAAGGCGTAAACCCGGACGGGTACTTCGCCAAAGGCCCGCAAGCGGGAAATCGCTTTGCATATCTGTGCGGCGGCAGCGGCAACGGCAATGACACTGGCAATGGGTGACAGCGGGTCGGCCATATTCAAATCACGGTTTGTGCTGTACTGTACAGTGCTCGCACCGGTGACCGAAGGTTTGCTAGTAACTTAATATATGATTCCGCGAGGCAGTTCCTTACTGGCATGCAATCAGCGCGCCGGATTCACAATCAATGCTGAGGGGTTGATTACGTGGCAACAATTCGTTTTGCGAATCAGATAATGTCTGTAAGCGCCGCAGCTGCGGGCATGCTGCAATCTTTTGTTCAAGTGGTCAGGCTTGCAAGGAATATGCCAGTGCTAGTTAGCATTAGCGCTGAGCTAGTAGTTGACGCCAGACTGCGGCGAGAACCGGCGTGCTCTTCTGAAACACTGCAGTAGCAAGGCACCCAAGGTGGGTGAGATGCCGAAAGGAGACCCGATGCACCTATCTTTGGAATTTCCTACCCCCGAGGGCCTCCTGTAACCTTCCGTCACTGCTCAAGCCCGGGGCTTTATAGATGGTCCCACTTCTGA